GTTGAAACATTAGAACCGTTCATAGAGGTGGGTCAGGAGTAATACGGGAAAAGATCTGTTTGCTCTTTTCTCTTATGCTGCAATGATTGACTTTTAAAGGCAACAGGAGATGTAAGGAGGTGACCTAGATTTTACTGAGACACTGTGTTTTGTCATAAACATAAACATAGGAATAAAGCTATATGTGGTAGCTACTTAGCTGGCTCAGTGGCATATTCTGAAATCCACAGATGTAGACAGTCAAAAGAATTACAGAATGGTGAGGTTTGAAGGGACCTCTGGAGGTCATCTTATCCACCCCCCAGCCAAGCAGTCCATTTAATGACCCAAAATTGGACCACCTCTATTTAAGTTGCTGTAGTAGGCAAAAGCCTGCTTAAATTGTTGTAGTGATGCTGAGCAGAAGACCACTGTACATCAAGGAGTCAGTGATCTGCAATACAGTTAGTCTGAGGAGTCCCAGACCTGTGCTGCATTTTGCTGCCCATCCACCACAGCCTTCAGACCTGTGCTGCACAGATCCTCTGGCCATGGCACAACCTCATCCAGCACATTGCAACAAAGGAGCCTCATGGACCCTCCGCTCAGTGTCAGCAACTACACCAGCTGCATACCCTTACTTTTTATCTAGCAGTGTAGAAACAAGTTCTCATGAGAACATTGTTTCTCTTTGACTGTAGAAATTATTATATTTGCTTCATTGGAATAAAATCCTTTCATAGCTTAAACATAATAGGTTGATACCGTTTTGACGATATCATTACAGTTATGAGAATTAAAGAAGGTAGATCATGTAACCATACAACTCCTTTATTATACTGTCTGTCTTTAAAAAAAAACGTACTCTTAATCTTTTTAAGTATTTCATGTATACAAAATTGTGTATGAAGTAGTACAATAAAAAGCTGAAGACTTAATTTATTTGCATCCAACTTTGATATTTTACTTTATTGTCTTTCAGAGGAGAGAAAAACAAAGACTATTCATTAGACATGCGTCTTACTTGTGCAGTTTGGCAAGGATCCAGACCATGTTCCATTGGCAGTGCATTGTCTTACAGATGATCCGGAGAGTATGTATCCTTCCATGCATGAATAAATTACTGAATTAGAGAATGTAGTTCCATCAATACGAAATACTTTTCCATTAGCAGTTGTTCCTGGATTACCACACTGCACAGCTATAAAGTAAAATGTTATATATGTTTAAAACACAGTAAAGATGATTTTTGACAGTGCTGCTGCCAGCAGTGTTATGTGGTAGAAATATGTGTTGCTGTTCAGACAAATCCAAGTTTTGCCACCTACTATTAGGGCATGTTGTACAGTAAATAGCTGCATTAATTACTTGGTTTTACCCTTTTGTATACAGGGAAACACAGCCTCCAAATTTAAGCTTAAAATCTGTATTAAAGGAAAAGTAGCTTACTTGTGAAAACAAACCTCCAATTACAAAAAACCCCACATGTACAGTTGCAGATTCAATTTGAATCTATAGTATGTATGCATTTATAGCATCACCAAAGTACATTTTCTACCTAATTCAAAGCACAGAATAGAGTCAAAATATTATTTCATAGGCACATACAAGCCTGATGTTTGCCAGTTCTCTGATGATTAACTTTAAATTGGAATGTGTCTTCCATGTGATTACATATATACCCATATATACATCGAATCGATATGCCCTAAACTATAACATACCTACACATGCATTACACACACACATCTATATCTATACATCTATATATATGTACATCTATACATCTATATATCTATATTCCTATATCTATGTATCTCTATCTGTGAACCAGATCCATTAAGATCTTTTTTTGAGGGAATAATAACACCAGAAGTATCTTAAAAAGCATACTTTATTCCTGTAATAGATAAGATCAAAGAAGAACAGCAGAAAGTTCAGTTGGGTTAAGCATATCCCTTCAGATACCAGCATACAAACACACATATGTATTTATGTTGTGTCAGGATGGCAGTCATTCAGCAGAAAAGGTATCAGAAAACCAGCCTGTTGAATAAGGTTTTAAAATTAGATTATTATTTAAAACAGATAACGCAGTCAACAGTGATAAACTGGCAAGTAAGACTACAAGTTCTCAAATTTCTGCTTTTCAGGAACCTTTTCTTTCAAAAGAAGTCTCTTGGGAATTGTTTCGTATTTTTGAATTAAGATAATTAAGGTAATAAATTATTGTCCGTATATATTCCATTAGAGATTTCTTTTATGATAATACATCTGGCTTGAAATTTCTAGAATTATTATTTTCCAAATAAACTTGTTTCAGCATTTCATTTCTTATTGAAAAATGTCAACAGAATTAGTAAATAAAGATTTTATTATGACATAGATGTATCTAATAAAATCCGGACATTGATATTTTCCTAAAACTCAGTTCTTTTCTCTGAAATTCAAAGTTATCTATATAATGGTTGTAAGTAAAGATTAAGTGATGGTGTGATTTTTAAAGGAAAAAATCTTAGAGCAAAAATTGAGTTCTAGACGTCCTACCTATTTCTTTTTCTGTTTATTTTTTTGTACTGGATAGCACAAATAGCTGATGTTGACACAAGATTAGGAAGAAATAAACAGTCCAGTATACTTTTTTTTTCTCAAAACTTTGAAAACGTGCAGTTTCATGGTTGCTGGGAGCTGATTTCAAATTTGTTACCTGACATCAAGCTATTGCTTTGGTGTAGTAACTTATGAGAAAAAATTGTCAGTTAAAAATCAACTGTATACCAAAAATGGCAATATAAAACTGGTTTTCTGATTACCATTTTTAACAAGACAGTTTAAAAATACAGTGGATCCTCTGTGATTTACCTTTGCACTCTGGTTGTCTTCCCGTCCAACTTCCATTTGCTAGACATGTCCTTTCTTCTGAGCCATGGAGGATATATCCAGTATCACAGCTGAAATGTACTGTGCTTTTAATTTTAAAATTGTTTTCTTCTCTAGACCCATGACCTGGGATACCTGGATCACCGCAAGAACCAGCTGTATCACCTAGAATTTAGAGTGTAAAGATCAGAATAAAGATGAAATATTATTATGATACTGCATTTAAAATATATGTTTCTATATATTTCTAAATTTATAAATAAATTTGTATTTATAGAATACCCCCCCCTCCAATCTATCTCAGTGGGTGTGATTTCCTATAATTTCAAAATTACTGGATTCTCAAACAATTTCTTTGTACTTATTTTATGTAAGTACAAAACAGAAACTGTAATGATCTCAAGATTCCTCTTAGACCATGCTAAGCTTTTGGTAATACAATCATCAAACAAGAATAAGGAAACAAAAAACAAGCCAAAAAAACCCAAACCCTTGACCATTTTTCATTTGAAATAAAGAATTCAGAACAAAACCAAAGTCCTGATCATAAAGATAATTTTCTTGATTACCTATACCAAATATTCATAAAATACTTCCTGTTTTTATTATATCATTAGAGTTGTAACAGTTTTACCACTGAAGGAAAGCTGTAGTCGACAATTTTATGTACATTTGACATAAAGCACTTGTCTGATTCACAGATATGTTGAAATTTCACTTCAAAGACTGCCTGATAGCTAAATCTCCCTCAGCTAGAAATGTTCAAGCAAATTCTGAGACAGAGGGTTAATGTTTTCTACTATCTGTTTTATCTGAACATCAAAATAATCAACATAGTCATAATACTAATAATAAGACCTAAGATTATACATCTAAATCTTCATTTACAGTGGGAGCTTTTAGGGAGCTTTAGGTAACACTGTATTTGCACAACAGGACAGTTGTTTAAATCTTTTAGTATATACTTAGGATCTGCTGTTCCATCTTTTTAGAGGTCTTTAAGCCAGACTTCTATCTAATAAGAAATTAAGGTATATTGTATTACTGAGTTAGAACACAAACGAGTTTAATTTTAGAATTCTTGGAGCTGCTCTGTTCAGGTTTTCATCCACAGCTTATGATTTTCCATGAAACTTGCAAATAAATATATGGGTTTAAACTTAAACAGGGGAAGTTTAGATTAGATAGAAGGAAGAAGTTCTTTACAGTGAGGGTGGTGAGGCACTGGAATAGGTTGCCCAGGGAAGTTGTGAATGCTCCAACCCTGGCGGTGTTCACGGCCAGGGTGGACAGAGCCTTGAGCGACATAATTTAGTGTGTGGTGCCCCTGCTCATGGCAGGGGGTTTGGAACTAGGTGATCTAAAGGTCCTTTCCAACCCTAACTATTCTATGATGCTATGAAGCCAAACAGTCTTCTATACAAAAAATATTTCAAACATCGTAATATTTTTTCAGGGCATATCTGCATTATTTTGTACTTATTTACACTAATGTAAGTAAAGAAGAAATATTTTAGGAATCAGCAAGAAAGCTTTAATTCAGCTACTGAAGAACATCATATTATGCATATATTCACATTTGTGACAATTATTAAAAGATTTATACAAATTATGCAAAGAATGCCATACCTTTCTGGTATTAATTTAACCTTAAATAGCAGTTACAAGGAAATTTCTTACACAGAAATAGTAGATAAAGTGGACTGCTCCAAGTACCAGAAGACCAAAAGTGACAAACCCAGTATCAAGGGGTTCTATGGGAAGTTAGGACCCTGGAGTTGTAGATGCAGAGGAAAACAGAGCTTCCCCTGTCTTGGTTGACACTATATGTCTGTAAACTATACTGCTGGAGTGACTGGATGGATACATATCTTTACTAACAAAAGCATGTACAGAACAGCTTGCTTTGCTTTAAGAATTATGGTGTATGAGAAAATGCTTGTTTTAGTCAAATGCATTTTTGTCACTTATGAAGGTAGTTCGTGTGGCTGCCTGCAGTTTGTAGGTCATGCTTTCTACTTTTTATTTTCTTTCGTATAGGCCATGCTTCCTTCCTTCCCCACAAAGTCATTGAAAACCACCATAACTCTAAGCACCTCACGGGAGCTGATCTGCACCATTCCTGTAGGCTTATGGAAAGGAAAATGCAGCTATGGAGCCTCAGTCTGAAGGTACATCTGGAGAGTCAAAGAAAAGGGCAGCCCTTTGCTTGGAAATGCAAAAAGAGAACAAACCTGGCAGTTCATACTTACTCAATCCCTTATTGAAGAAGCTGACAAAGTAGGCTAATTGTGAAACACTCTCACTAATTTAGGAGACAATTTTATCATTACTTAAGTTAAACAAGCTTCATCTGACACTTTTCACTTGAGAATAATCAAACTAATGTATACCAATATATTACATTGTGAGCTTTTAGAGCATGTATGTGCAAAAAATACATGGTCCTATGTATTTTAATACTTTCAGAAAAAACAATTAACTCAAGTAAGTATAAGAGCTAGCTGACTGGTTCAAAATCACAGACTCAGAAGTTTAGACTCTTCTCCATTTATGCACTTCATTATGTGACACACATCAGTAAAGCAGCCTCCCAGGCCTGTTTAAAAAGAAACTGGAAATAGTTCCAAATTATTGTAAGTAAAAGACTTTTATAAGCTTTCAAAATACTTCATGTCCACGCTAGCCAGGTGACTTAACATCCCTCTATTTGAAAACAGTCTGCTACATATTTTTACAATAATTTAAAAATGTCCTAGATCAAGATATTTTTTTGGTCTGGGGAATCCATATCTTACATTTTCTAATATGATGTATTTAGACTATGAAGGATTTGGATCAGGGCCTATTCATTATGCTATACTTGTAAAATCTCTACAATAACAGCTCATTTTTCAGCAAGTTATTTGGCATTATGCCTAAAATAATTTTCAGATGAAAAAACCTGAAAATAGGCTTTTTACTATGCCAACTATAAACCACATATTCCTCTTGTAAATGAAATCATGTGTTCCTTCCTAATGCCTAATTATTACTGTGAATTATTATTTTTTTAATCTTAGGGAGGTTAACCACCAGCTCTTCTGATTGAAGGTTACAGAGATAATTTTTCTAAATGACTAATCATATCAGGAAGCTACAGTGATATAATCAATGATATCATAACAGAACAATTTCTTATTACCTCACGCAGAGATTCAACTAAGTGATTTTCAAAGTCAGCTATGAGCCATCCTTTACCCACACACGTAATTCTCAGTTGGTATTTAATCTTAATGAAAAGGAGGATATTTAAACCACTGAAGTAAGTACACAACCATCGCTGCACTTAGAAGGAATTATAAGTTAGTGCAAATTTCTGACTCAGTGATGACTGAAAACTGTTCTGTTTAATGCCAATAGGTATCCATGAGACATGAAAATTCCTTCTAGCTCTAGGACGTGAAACATAAAGTACCACATCACAAATGGAAACTGTTTTAGGGATGATGTGACAAAATTTGGTTACCTTATATTTGCAGACTTAGCATTTTCTGTTTGAATTATTCTCCATATATGAAAAACATAAGCATACTATATCTTTTGTCAGTTGAACATTCTATATTATGTATTATTAATATTATCCAGGAAAAATACAATTTTTTAGGCTTTAATATGCATTAAAAATCAAGAAATCAACTTATTAAGGCTAATAACGAAATCTAATGATGTCATATTTTAGAAATTTTTAAATAAATTCGGTATGGTAAACTGCGAATTACTTTGAAATGAGAAAGCACTGGAGATACACTCTGAAAACAGTCTTGATATACTTTGAAAAACAAAATCTTCAAGTTGTCCTAAGCTAGAATTATAGTAAGGTACAGTACAGCTACAGAAAATAAGTTTGTATCCTGCCACAATTTGATTTGCTGTGATTAACATTTGAATGTATGTCAAGGAAGTGCTTCTACATGTATTGACAAAAATTCATTAGCTCTGATTAAAATTTCATATACGTAGCTACAAAAATTGTCATTATTAAAAAAAAAAAAGATTTTCATGCACCTTACTTATGACTGCTTATCCCAAGATACTGAACATTTAATTTAATAGCAGGATGATTACAGCAGAATTATTTTTAACTTATTTTAGTAAGTTCCTTTGATATTTTCATAGATATTTTTCAGGCCTCCTATTTCTATTCCTTGATATTTTTGTCTATTTTTATTTTTTAAGTCACAAATTAGATTTTTTTTCTTTATGAAGACTCTGAACAGCCTTAGATTTTATCTAAAGAGTATTTTTTCCCAAAACCAATATCTATGCATACTAGCTATAAAAAAAAAAAAAAATAACCTATTTGAATTTGCAGTTGACATAAATTTTTCATTATTTATTAAGTAATATTTAATATTAAATTTGATTTCTGGTGCATAGCTCTAAACACCACAGGCTATAAGATCCTGATCTTTGTTCCTGTTGTGGCATATCTCCCTCCAACTTTATTGATGGAATGTTAAGAGATTAAATTAGGTGTTCACATTTTCTAGTTTCAGACCCATTTTAGATTGTAAAGGCAGATTATTGAAAGAAGAGGGATTCACAGAGCAAGATAACATTTATATTTTCCTTGCCTGCAACCACTTCCTAGAATTTTGCAGTGGAAGCTTCAGATACTGAAAAATTCATCCACCCATTTGGAATTTAGTGCAAGAAGCACCATTTAAATATTTTTTTATTATTTTTTAAACATTTCTGTGCCATGGGCTGTAAAAAAAATTCATATTCTGAAACTGTAGCTGACATAATTGGTTTATACCTGAATACACTAAAGAGTTGAAGGCAGGAGTTAAAATAAAAGTTTTGGATTATGTAATTATGTGAGACTCCACCTGGAGTACTGTGTCATTTCTTGGGTCCAAAGTTCAAGAAGGAGACAGACCTATTAGAGCAGGTTCAGAGGAAGGTCACAAAAAATTAGCTGGAACACCTCTCCATACTAAAAGGCTGAGAGAGTTTGGGCTGTTTCATTTCGAGAAAGGAAGTCTCCAGGGAGACCTTATTGCAGCCTTTGAAGATAAATAAAAATATAAGATGGTGACTTGTCATCAAAGCCTGTAGTGACAGTAGGAGCAATGTTTTTAAACTGAGATAAGGTAGGTTTAGGTTGAAACTAAGGAAGACATTTTTTTAGGATGTGTATGGTGAGACACTGGAACGCACTGCTGAGAGAAGTTGTGGATGCCCCACCCCTGGAAGGGTTCAAGGGCAGGTTGGATGGGGCGTTGAGCAACTTGGTCTAGTGGAAGGTGTTCCTATTCATTGCCAGGACGTTGGACTAGATGACCTTTGGAGGTTCCTTCCAACCCAAACTATTCTATGATTCTAGTGGAAGATGTCCCTGCCCATGTCTGGAGGGGTTGAACTAGATGATTTTTAAAGGCCTCTTCTGACCCAAACCATTCTATGGTTTCATGATTTACTAATGCTGTAAATAATCTGGATTTTTAGTATGAAACTAGTATAGCAGTATTGTCAGATTTGCATATCAGTTATTTTTCATCTCTTGATTTGGCATAGCCGTAACCCAAGAAAACTATGTGACGCTTTTCTTCCTATTTTCTGCCTTCAAGGATATCTAAATACACTGAATTACATAGGTCTGAATAGGTCCAAACCCCCACTGATTTCTTTAAACTATATAATGGAAACATGAGGATGACAAGAAAGAACTTCCCCCAGTATTTACTGAGAATTAAAGCTGTTAACATGATTAAACTACGCTACAATCTTTGTTTACATACTCTAAGATAAGAAATGGGATTTACCGAAATCACAAATCGGGTGTATTCTGGATTTGTTTTTTCACTTGATCACTGGTTTTAAAGTGAATCAAACTAATTGTGAAACAGACCATTTTTAAGCATAAAATTGTTGTGAAAATATAACTCAGCTTCAGTGAAAGCTAATGTATTACAAGGATTAGACGGTGTCCCCTCAAAAAATAAGCACCCTATCTTGAAATTATGTGGAGCCCACTTGGCCTCATTATAAAGATGGATGTATCATGCAATTCAGACATACCTGTAGTGTCATAAAGTCAGTAGATATTTTGCAAGTTGAAAAGACACCCAACAAACCCATCATCTTGAAAAGATAATGATGCAATGTTTCCCTGTGGAAATTAATACTCTTTCCAGAACTTACACAGGAAATATTTTCAAAATAAAGTGGTTCCTTTAACATTGTACTGAATATGCAATTTCTTACTTATGTGTCACTGAAAATGAGACATATATGTATGTCACTGAGAAAGCCTACTTCTTCCAAACTATTTTCTTGGTAGTAGTTTATACTTTTTTTTTCACTTCTACTGACATAGTACTTCAGTTTTATGTATGATATCCCAGGTTTTAAAATGGCCTTCTGATAAAATCAAAATGCATTCAAAACAACTTCAGGGCACACTCGTTAATTCAAAAGTATTACCTGAGCAATGAGGAAGAGATCCACTCCAGTGTCCATTTAACTGACATGTACGAGATGACTGCCCTAACAGCGATCGTCTACCTGTGCAGGTATAATGAACAGTAGACCCAAACGTGTATTTATCTCCAGACAGGACCGCGTTAGGAGGAACGCCAGGATGGCCACAGTCAATCACTACAATGCATAATTATTGGAGATGAAAAAAGGTTATTATAACTGATCAAAAAGTTTGTAGTTATGATTTTCATAACTCCATACATATACTTCAGGAAGAGACTGATATTTTTAGGGTTTGGGCCTGGGAAGCACATTATCTGATTGAAAATGCAAAATACGTTACAGACCAAAAACTGTGAAACAAATATTTGGAGATGTCAAAAAGGTATTTAATGTACAAATATCAATGTCAAATGACATCCGATCACTAGGATGATCTTTACGACAAGAGCACACACACACACAAGCACACACTCAATGCATCTCCTCTTCAGAGAAAAAATAAAGGAACATTGTATCTGCCAAAGTCACTGCCGAGGTAGAGAATATGCAGACCTTCAGCTCTCATTCACTGGTCCCCAATCATTGGTCATGAGTTCCATCAGATATATAATAAAATCATTTTGCTAAATTTCACTATGAACCTTAACGCTAATATACCAATCTAAACTCAGTAATATGCTAGTCTAGTTTAAGACCATTTCCCCTTGTCCTATCACTACAGAGACTACTAAAAAGTCTGTCCCAACCTTTCTTATAAGCCCTTTTTAAGTGCTGAAAGGTCACAATAAGGTCTCCCTGGAGCCTTCTAAGGCAAAACAACCCTAACTTTCTCACCCTTTCTTCACACAGGTGGTGCTCCATCCCTCTGTTCATTTTTGTGGTCCTCTTCTGGACCTGCTCCAACAGGTTCATGTATTTCATGTGCTGATGACTTCACAGCTCGATGCAGTACTGCAGGTGGAGCCTCATAAGAGCAGAGGGGGAGAATCATCTCCCTTGACCTGCTGGTCACACTTCTCTTGATGCAGCCCAGGATACAGCTGGCTTTCTGGGCTGTGAAAGCACAGCTCATGTCCAGCTTTCCATCCAGCATTTTCCCCAGTTTCTTTTCTGCAAGGCAGGAAATCTCAATCCCTTCATCACACAGCCTGTATTGACACTCAGGGTTGCCCTGACCTCCATCTGCAGAGCCTTACATTTGGCCTTGTTGAAACTCATGAGGTTTGTATAGCCCCACTTCTCAAGCTTGTCCAGGTCCCTCTGGATGGCATCCAGTCCCTCAGTCGGCTGCATAACTCAGCCTGGTATTGCCTGCAAACTTGCTGAGGGTGCACTCAATCCCTCTGTGTGATGAAGACACTAAACATTACTGGTCCTACCACCTGTCAATGATATTCATCTTGCACATTGAGACACTGTTTGCTACCCTCTGTATGCAACCATCCAACCAATTCCTCATCCACTGAACAGTCCACCCATCAAATCCATCTCTCCAATTCAGAGAGAAAGATGTTGTGTCTGACTGTGTCAAAGGCCTTACAGAAGTCCAGACAGATGATGTTCATAGCTCTTCCCTTGTCCACCGAGGTAGTGACTCCACCACAGAAGGCCACTAGATTGGTCCAGGCATGACTTGCTCTTTGTGAAGCCATGCTGTCTGTCTCTAATCACTGGAGGATGTGTTCCATGATTTTCACAGGCACAGAGGTGAGGTTGCCAGGTCAGTAGTTCCCAGAGTTCTCCTTTCTACCCTTTCTAAAAATGCATGCAACGTTTCCCTTTGTATAGTCACTAGGGACTTGACCTAACTGTCATGACTTGGAGAGTGGACTCATGGAGACTGACTTGGCAACTACACCAGCCAGTTCCCTCAGGACTCTTGGATGTATCTCACCAGGTCCCATAGACTTAGGTCTATTCAGGTTCCTCAGGTAGTCATGAACCTGATCTTCTCTTACAGTGGGTGGCACTTTTCTCCACCAAGCCCTGTCTTGCAGTCTATCGGTCTATCCACTCAAGACGTTTGCAAAGAGAGGTTGCTAGTGAAGACTGAGGAAAAAAAAAAAGAAAAAGTAATTGAGTACCTCAGCCTTTTCCTCATCCGTAGTTACCACTTTGCCAGTTGTCTTCATCAGGGGCATGGGTATGCTTTCTTTGACCTTCCTTTTCTGGCTGACATACTCATATAAAGCCATGCCTTGGCCTTCCTGACCCCATCCTTACATAACCAGGCAGCATCGCTGGTACAGGTACTCTTCCCAGAATAACTGCCCCTGCTTCCACTGCCTGTGCATTTCCTTTTTGCCCTTTAGTTTGACCATCAGGTCTCGTCTCATCCATGCTGGTATCTTGCCATCCCTTCCTGATTTCTTATGTTTGAGGATTAAGAACTCTTCCTTTCTACAGAAAATGTCCTTAAATATCTGCCCGCTGATCTCATCCTATTCCATCACATAGCTGCACAGTAGCTTTTTATAGGTATGTAAATCTAATTTTACATTAAGCTTTGATTCAGATTTAAAGAACAAAAGAAAAATAAAAGAGAAAAATATTATTGATCTTCAGAGTATGTAAAACATCAGGTCAAATGATATTTTTTCATTATTATGGACAATTATCTATCAATCTCTGTCATGTCAAACCTCCCTTTCCTAAAAAAAATAAATAAATCTGAGAGAAAAATATGCAAATAATTATTTTGCCAATGTAACATTTCAATGGATGTTTCTTTTCCCTGAAAACCCTAACCCCTAAAACCCAAAACCAAAATACACAGTTAATACTGATAATGGATGAGATATATAACATTCTGAAAAACAGAAGTGTAAATCCACATCCTCTTCTGGTCAACTATGATGACATATCAGTAAAATTACAGCATCATTAGTTTAAAGCCTGATTAAATTTACAAATGTTCAATTAAATGAAATATTATACCCTAATTCTTGGGTACTGAATTAAAAAGTAGACATGAGGGTTTTTTAATCTGTATAGTTGTCAGCAATTTTTATTATTCTACCTGAGCTAGAAATGTCTATATATGTCATATTGTGAGGGAGGAAATGTCAGAACAAGGTGATGCAATAGATTTATTGAGAGAATGGCACAGACACTAGCAAAAAAATAGCCTATATTATTTGGATTTCAAGCTTGGAAGGCATGGATTGTGTGTAGTCAGATCTCAGTAGTTGAAGAATAACAAATCAGAGCGTGTCTATCAGAACTAAATCGAGAATACTTTGCCATACAAAACCCCACTGATATGGGCACTGGAATTCTTTCAGGTGTGTTGTCCAAACATATCTTCATTTTGAGTACATTTCAGATTTATTTTACTGGAAACATGTAACCAAATAGTGCATGTCCCTGAAAGTCTTAGTTCAATGGGAGAGTTGAAATGGCATTGTGATCCAGGCCAATGCTAAATTCTGCTCCTTACAGGATTTACAGAAACTAGAACTCTAGCTATGACACATTTCAAAGGAATTGAGTCACTTTACAAGTGAACAACTTTTCCCTTGTTACCATGTCTCTTCTCCATTACTCTAGCAATATTTTGAAAAAAGGTCTGTTTTTTGGGACTAGTTAGAGACTGAAATCCAGCTACATCAAAAAATAATCCAACTTGGCTCAAAGGATAACATCTAGCAAGCTTTCCACTTCTTTTCCATTGCTCTTATAGTGGAAAAATGTGCAGACTACTAAATGACTGCCCTGGATATGTTCAAAAGGGAAACAATTTGCAATACACTCCAGAAGCTGAAATGTTCTTGTTAAAAAGTAGTCAATAGATGCATCAGAATCAGTTTTGACAAGTTTTATGATTATTAAATATCCTGGATAGTGGCTATGTTAGAATTTATTGACCTTTTTATATAAATGACACAAATAAAGCTAAGGATACCCTTTCAAAAGTACACATAGCACTCTTACTTCCAAAGCTCAGGTTAAAAGAATAGTAAAATCTGTAAATCTTGCAACAATTTTAAAAGAAGACTAAGAAATAAAAATGCCAAAGTAGAAAGAAGAAATCTCTGCACCTTCACTTTTAGGTTTTCCTTCTCTTTGGAGATATGTTACTATTAAGTAACATTCATCTTTCTGAAATTGTTAATGTGAAACTTGCAATCAAGCTATTTATCCTATCAAAGAATGGGACAACTTTCAGAACCAAAGGCATTAACAGCAATAACAAAGTTTCAGGTTTAGATTGATTGATTGATTGATTGAGAGAGGAAAAACAGAACTGGAGAACCTTCAGTTAAGAATATATCTACAGTATTGCAAGTACCAGTTCATGATTCCTGAATAAGGAACCCTTAACCTGTTTTTCCCTTTAATCTCTACAATATAAAGCTTTCAGCCTTTCTCAGAGAAAAATTTTGATCCTAAGGCAAAACTTCATTCCCAGACTACAGAAAACTGGGTAAGCCAGCTGTCCCAGACAACTGAAAACATATGAAACATCTATGGCTGTATCTACATCACAGTTGCAAAGTTGTTCATGAAAAGCTAGAACAAAACCCACCTGCTTTTGTTGATCCCCTTGCCTTAGTGGATCATACGACTATGATGGTCAGGCACATCATTCACAGATGTTTGTTTCATTTACCAAAATTTCTCTAAGAATATAATTGCACTACTTCAGCTGCTAGTAAGACCTTCCATCGTTACTGCACACACACAAATGTATATGATTATTCTAGTTGCTGTCATGAGACTGATGGAAATGTCATGTAAATTAATACCTAGTCTAGTCCACAATCTTTGTAGAAGCATACACATTATCTACTTACTAATGCACTCAGGCAGAGGTTTGTCCCAGTGTCCATTTGGTTGACAAATTAAAACTGAAGAGCCAAATAAAAAATATCCAGGATTGCAGTCATAAAATACCACTGTGCCATACGTGAAATTTCCATGTTCAATTTTACTTTCTCTTATAGAATTTGCAGGAATTCCAGGATCAGAACAATTGACCACTAAAAAGAAAAAGAGCATAGACTTGAGAGTCATACAAATACAATCTACTAAAATGGCCTTTAAATGGTCTCTTTTTATTTATATGAGAAACTTTCAAGATGTTGCTACCCTGATTTTATATACCCTGATTTTATATATAATGATACTGAATTAGGAAGATAATATGAAACCAGGAGACGCTGAACTCAGAGGAAATGAAGGAAATGTTTCCTCACAGAATGTGATGATGCTATAAAAGTATTAGCCACTAACAGTGACTGGACATATTCAATTATATATTGAATATGTGAAGAAATAGATAAATATAATATATAATACATAAATATATAAT